TTGTTGTCAATCCTGTGTACCATTTCTTCAGTGAGTAAGATTTGTTCCTCAACCCCTTTAAGAGTTTGAAATCCTGTTTGTTCAACTGAAACCACCTTATGAAGAATTTTTTGGAGTCTAGTGGCCAGGATCTTAGTGTTGATCTTGCTCATAAAAGTTGAAAGAGAGATAGGCCTATAATCACAAAAGTTTTTTGGATAATTAATTTTGGGAATAAGACTGATGAAAGTGCTACCATAGCTGATAGGGACAGGGACCCCAAGGAAGAATTCCCGGGTTGCACTAATGACATCCTTATGAATGATTTCCCAGCAAAATTTAAAGAAGTGGCCATTGTACCCATCAGGCCCTGGTGCACTATCTGGGCTGAGGCTCCAAACTGTATTTTTAATCTCTTCATCACTAGGAATCATTGTGAGAAGGTTGTTGTCTTCCTCTGTAATGGTAGGGGTAATGTAGGCCAGAATAGGGGACATTGAGACTGACTTTCTGTTATTGAATTGATTGAAAAAGTGCTCAATGGCCATCTTTTTAATCACTTCAATATTGGTAATAGGTTTACCATTAGAATCTTCAATAACTCTGATCATGGACTTGGTTCTTTTTCCTTTGACATAGGCATGAAAGAATTTAGTGTTAGAGTCACCCTCCTCCATCCACTTTAAGTTAGCTTTCTGTTTCCAGAAGTTGAACTCATTGTCAGTAGCCATAATGAGCTCAGCTTTAGCCTTATTATAGTTGGCCCTGTTGAAATCAGATTGGTCAGCTTCAAAGCATTCCTGGGCAGAAGTTGCCAACCTTTCTGCATCTTGTATTTTCTCCTGAATATTACCAAAGGATTTCAGATTCCACTCTTTAAGCACAGATTTCAGTCCTTTAAGTTTAGAAGCTAGCCCATGCATGCCTCCCAAATAGGACCTAGATTTCCAAAAATCAGAAATAACTTGTAGAAAATTATTGTGATTCATCCACATGTTCTGGAATCTGAAAGGTTTGGGACCATAACTCTGATTTTGAAGACATTGGAGGAGGATAGGCTTGTGATCAGATGTAGTGGAGCTGAGGTGAGTAACAGTGATGTCATGATAATTGTTCATCAAAGTGCCATTAACTACTGCTCTATCTAATCTCCTTTGAACTCTACCTCTGCTTCTATTACCTGACCAGGTAAATAAGTTGCCAATCAGCTGAGGGTTGATAAGCCCACAATTTTCAAGGCAGTCATTGAGGTCATCCATGTCTGATTGTAGGGGTGATATTCTTCCAGAGTGTTCAGAGAGATTA